TAATATTAGCCCACTAGCTCATATGAACATATGAGCCCAATAGCCCAGATTGAATCTGGGCCGATCTAACGGTTACGCCTCATTTCGTGCTTGAATTTTTATTCTTCACTCCAAATCCAAATAACTTGATATTTTAGGCGTTCATTCTTCTCATTAAGGCGCACATAATAAAAATATTTTAAAAATAATTTGTAAAAAATAAATTGACCAAAATACTCCTGAAACTTTTTAGGGGTATTTTGGTCAATTTATTTCTTGCAAATTATTTTTTTGATATTTTTATTAGATTCTCATTTATTTAAAAACACACTCCTAAAATTTGAATTTTTTTAGATTCATATGAGCTAGTGGGCTAATTTTATTTTATTTTATTTTTGTGGTACCAAAATCGATCATATCCTAGACTTTCAAGATAAAAAATAAAAAAATTTGTACCTTCAAGATTTGAGGTTGTAAATTTTCTAATCTTTAATGGTAGACGTATCTTCTTCTTTTTTTTTTTCCTCATAAAATTTTTCAGACTTTCAATATCTCAATACATGATGCGGTGGGAAAATGCAAAAATACATGATTCGGTAGGAAAGTGTAATTTTTGGATTCTGAAAATCGAAAATTTTAATCTTAAATTAAGTTTCAAATAAATTAAGTTTCAAATGTTTGAAAACGAAAAATATCCACTGATGCTAAAATACAATTTTTGGATTTTGAAATTTTAAAAATTCAATTTTCAAATAAATTTCATTCGTTCAAATTCCAAAACTGTGGGGACGCTTAAATGCCATTTTTGGATTTTTAAAATACAAACTTTCAATTTTCAAATAAATTTTGAATTTTCAGAATCCAAAATTGTTGGGATACTTTTTTTTCATGCTAGATATAAATTTGGGAGACCTTTATTTTATTTTTATTTTTTACTTTTTATTTTTGCAATTTTTGGACTTTAAAAATCCAAAAATAAAATTATTTAAAAAATTTAGGATTTATAAAATTTTAAAATTGTTAGGATACTTGTTCTTTGTTTGTTTGTTTGCCTTTTTAGGATTTTAAAAATCCTAAAATTTAATTTCAAAACAAATTTTGGATTTTCAAAAGTTGAAATTGTTGGGGACGCTAAAAAACTATTTTTTGGATGCTGAACAAGCAAAAGTTTTAAAACTGATTTTGAAAATCCAAAAAAGGTACTTCATTCATTGAAAAATAATTGCAAAGTATAATTGTAGTAATTTGTACTCAGAAAAATTGATAGTAAAATTTAAATAATGTTAAAAGAGCTTATACGTAAATATTATTTAGTAGGTGGTTTTCTCTATAGAGAGACGGGGGCGGGGGCCTTTTGTGCAAAAGATGCAAAGTCTCCTCTTAAAGAGAATAGGAGATGCTTGTTTCTTGTAGAGAAACGGTTCTTATAGAGATTTTAGGTGGTTTTTTCTTTTAGTTAGAGAGAAAGTCAATTTCTCGTTACTCTTGTATCTCTATCTAGCGTTGTTGATAATGGTTGCTAAAAGTAAAGAGAAATAAGGGAGAGTGATTTAAAACAATTTGCTCGATTAGGTTTTTTGTCAAGGTTTAGAGAGGTAACTCTACATCCCAAAATCGTTGATATAACTTTTGATACAACTTTTATTGCTATAGTGGATTTCAGTTTGTCGTGCCCGTAAGCGTAACTTTTTTGGGGTGAATCACGTAAATCTTTTTATTCTTGTGTATATGTGTTTCATGTTTTATTTATCGTACTTTATTTGCTAAAAATCATCGGGTTTAGAGCTCCTGTGTACAACAATCTCGACCATCGGTTTTCAAGATTTTCATGTGTTTATGGATCTACTCTACGTAAAGTGTTTTTTAGTTTAAAATTTTATTACTAAAGATAAAAATTAATTCTAGCACCATCCTAAGCATTTTAGATACTCAAATTGCATCTCATGATAAAGTTTGGATGTGCACCTAAATTTGATTGTTTAAGGCTTCCATAACCTTATGAAAACCGCACCCTAAAAAATACCGAACATCTCAACAATTTAACAATTTATAATTTATAATTTTTAACTATTTTCAACTTATGGACACGTGTGTTTGATGGATCTCCCATATGATCTTGAAACATTTCCCTGTATTTCAATTTTAAAATGCATGTTTCACATACGGCCAACAGGAGGCCTTGATAGTGCATTCCAATTCTAAGCATGAAACCTCGAAAAACACTAAGGGCGTATTTGATAAGTGGGAGTTTTTGAAAAGTAAAAGTTAAATGTCCCACTTTCATGTTTGATATTACAGTGTGGAAGCCGTAAAGTGGAAAGGCGGCATTCCACTGGCTTTGTTTGAGTGTTAAAATGAATTCAATTTTGGAAGACCTCCCTATCCCTTCCATAAATAATAATGGAAGAGCATTCTTTCATAATTTGTGGGAAAGTCCTTCCCACTCCCAAAAACTACACATATCAAACGCGCCCTAATATCAAACGCGCCCTAATAAAAGTGACGAGTCTCGGCAATTCATACTGCTGTCCAAAAAAAGAGAGAAAAAGACTAAAATTATGCATCCACCTTAGTGAGCCGTTCAATGTCAACAGCAATTTATTATAAACACACACACCCAATGGCACACTCAAGCGAAAGGGCTGGTGATATAACAGTGTCCCAACAATCAACGAAGGGCCTGAACATGAGAGAGAGATGGCTCCTTTTGATTAATTTAGAGAGAGATGGATGTCCCCTATTGATTGATTTTGAAGTGGCGAGCTTCTAAATTCTCAGCATTGAGCCTCAAGAAGTTACTGTTCCTCCTGGACCTGTAAAACTTGCCCCACATGAAACCTTTAAACTTGGGTGGGTTGAGCTCGTTCACCAGCTCCTTAAGAGGCTTTACCATAACATGGCTTGCTGGTCCAAATGAAAAGCCCATCGAATACCTGTGCTGGTTAGTGTTCGCCACCACCCTGTGTTCAAGACTTTCATAGTAGCCATTGCTAAATACCTACAATGATTTCCACATAACACAAATCAACCAATCATGAGAGTGAGACAGAGAGGGAGAGAGGGAGGGAGTCGGTAATTGAGGTCCTTGAAATATGGTATTCGTGACCCTTTATTTGGGATGATGTAGTGAGAGACTATTAGTTAGGAGTAGGACTTTTCCGTTAACCGGACATGGGTCCGGTTCAACCAGTTTCACTGGACAAGTCATGGGCGGTCAAAATAAATATAAAAAAAAAAAAAAAAGCATCTAATAAAATATAAAAAGTATATTTAAAACATGATTAAACAAAGTACATTTAAATGAAGTTGAAAATTAATGAAAAATTGGGTTTTAAAATAATCATTTTGAGCTTAGGGGTATTTTTAAAAAATTTCATAAAAGATAGGAAAATGTATAAATACGTGTTAATGGCCAAAACGTTTTCCAATATTTGTCAAAATGATGAAAAAATTACTAAAAAATACATTATAAACAAAATTCTTTATTTTTTGAGATTTTATATATATACTTTTGAATTTTTTTAAAAAAATACCCGACTGATTCACCAAAACTGGCTAGTGGCCTGTTTCGATCTAACTGGACGGTTCCAATTTGAACCGCTTGATTTTTCCTACATTGGTTCGGAACATGTTTCTATAAAAAAATATTTTCATGGTCAATAATTCTGTAGGGGTGGCAATGGATTTTCCTACATGGTTCGGAACATGTTTCTATAAAAAATATTTTCATGGTCAATAATTCTGTAGGGGTGGCAATGGACAACATGGCTTGGCCCTCCCGGCCATAAAAACCTAGGGCCCAGCCATCTTTTTCTTTAAATGGTCTCTTTTTGTTTTTTGCCTAATTTTATCTAGCCTGGCCTTGCCGGCCCTGATAATGCCAGAAGCACGTCTGGTCCAAGGCCTCTGTGGCATGGTTCGCCTGGGCCAGGTCCAAGCTGACTCTGTCGAGTAGGGCCATCTGACACGCAAACGGATATGGCACGCAAACCGATAATTGGGGAGCGATAATCAATTGCCTGTCTTTTAAAGTGGAATGCATTTCATTTATAATGCAGGAGATTGGATGTATTCATCAATTATTAGGAGAGAAGGTCGAGAGAGAAAGAAGTTGAATAAAATCATACATTCATGGCTTCACCCGTGTTGATGATGTAGGCACCAGGAAGAGGGTTAACCTTGAGCCACTTTCCATCTTTCCTTTTGATTTCGAGGCCACTCACGTTGTCAGTGGCGAGCACAGTGAGTGCACTAGCATCGGTGTGGCACCCCTTTCCAAGCACAAGAGAAGGGGAAGGGCAAGGTGGGTAGTGATTTACTCGATTAAAGCTCCCACTGTTCTCAAAGTAAGCTTGGAACCTCTTGGACGGTAAGCCAAGGCTCAGAGCGATCACCTCCAAAAGCCGAAACCCTAATCTTTCCGCCTCTTTCCCATAAGCGTCACATGCTTCCCTAAATAATTGGAGCATCATTTATTTGTCAAAAAAGGACAGTGTACCTGATTAATTACATTTATATTATATTATATAAATAATATATAATATATGTGATGCAAATTACTATTTGAATCCAAATTTTAGATCCCGACTGATCCAAATTGAGTCCAAAATTCGGGTTTCAAATCCAAATCAGGTAAATCTGCAACCCTATGTATACTGCATTTGAATTCAAACTCAACATAGTTTAAACTTTAAACCGAATAACTTTTTCTATATTTATATAATTCTTGAGGATAGAGGTATTAATGTTTTTGATGAACATCTGACAGATCTTTTAGAATAATATGGTCTTAAGGGTTCAAAAAACAATAAAATTTATCGGATTTAAAATGAGATGTCCACAACTAATGAAATAAGATTTCCACAAATAACACATTTATTATTTTTAGCATATAAGATTTCCACAAATAACACATTTATTACTTTTAGCATATAGTCATAGTACTTAAATATTATCTCATAACATCTGTCCCACTTTCTACCTCATCTTCTCTCTCACTTTTTCTCTCTTTTTTCATAGATGTGTACACACATACGTACCCATTTACACGTGTATACATATATATATATATATACATATCCTATTAATAAATATGGTTTATGTTTTAAATTCTGAAATATGCTTCCCTGTGCTATAATACACCATATTATATTATCAATGGTTCAACAAATTGCTTATGCATAAAAAAAGTGGAATATATTTTTGCTTTCTAAACACAATAAACTATATTTTTATTTTTATTTTATTAGAATATAAAGGAACCAATTTCTTATGCATAAAATAGTGGAATATATTTTTATGTTTTTAAATACAATACAATAAAATTATAATTTTATTTTTAAAGTTAATTTATTAAAATTTAAATTTTTATAATTTATATATGCTAAATTCATATATAATAATTATACAGACATTTTGGGGTCATACTGAGACATATCTTAGACACCTCTCGATCTTTGTGAATACAATGTATCGCACTAAGAGATTAGAGAGAGAGAGTTGTAAGCATGTTAATGCAAAGGACTCGAAAAGTGAGAGGAGAGAAGAAGGTACACGAAACCGAGTGGGTTCTCGGGCCTCTTGTTGGCGAGTGTCACCATCTTTGGACAATCAGCCTCCGCATTTGCCGGCAACTCAACCGGACTGTTCACAAAATAGTCGTAAACCTCCACCCAATCCTTTGTATTATGTGTTAATTCCTTGTTAAAATAACCCAGCGTGTCCTTAAAGTCCCTCTGAACCTTGAGCTTCTCCTCCAATGGAAGGGCGAAAAACTGGGCGATCTTTTCATCGGCATTTTGCCGGATGTCCGCCGGAATGCCATGATTCACCACGAAAAACATGCGCCACTCTTTGAGAGCAGCCTTCACCTCCTCCACTAGTTGGTTTACCTGAGATTTGTCCCCCGAATCCAACGGTGAGAGATCGATCACGGGGATGCCCTGCGCGACTTGGATCGTTGGATCGGGCCGAGTATCCGTGGGCTGGATATAAGCAGACTCTACCTCACATGCCATACTTTTCTCTCTCTAACCCACTACCAACACACCCTCTTTCTCTAAACAATCGACTCTTATCTCTCTAAACAACTTGTGACTCCAATGTGGAGAGAGAGACAGCCTCTATTTATACACAATCGAGCCACCCTCGGCGCGTATCATGCATCATATATTTTATTGTTTGATATTTACGAATGTGTGGAGTTATGGGACTACCCTGCAATTATTGGTTGTTTAAATTAAGATGCAATATGATACGAAAAGATTCGCTATGATTTACAAGCCAACAAAGAAATGGGGTTCTCATCTAAAAATTTCACCGATTCGTTATCATGATGAAAAATGTATATATATATATATATATATATATATAATATTTAAAGGGTACAGTTTGTATAGAACCTCGGCTCTAAACATCAAATTAGAGCCTATTTTCAAATAGTATCGAGAAATATGGTTTTAATACTGAAAATCATTATAATAGCCTTAAAATATATTTTCATTTTTATTTATAAAATTTAAAGCTTAAAAAATAATGTAGATTGATAGATCTATGAAAACTTGAAAATATTGAAAATTAACGATCCAAAAATGCCTATTTCCAAAACTTGAAATCCATCTCTTTTCTTATGTCCATGCATCTTGATATCGAGATGATCAATTTGAATATATTTGAGCATCAAAGCAACCTCTTCTAGTGATAAAATTTTTTAGTTAGGCTCTAATTTGATGGTTTAGAGCCTCAGCTCTATATAAACTTATCCAATATTTAAAATGTGATTTTTTTGAATAAAATTCTACACCATAAACCCTAAAGATGGATCGTTGGTGAGACAGAGTGCTCTTGCACCCGCGACTCATTAAGGATTTTTCCTTAGAAAAACGAGCCACACGATTTTTTTGAACATTTGATAAAGGAGCCACACGATTTGAATAATTATGGATATTAAGAGGCCGCAAACAAGTTATTAAGTCTCTATAACAAGCATGTAATGATGGGGCCACCGTTGGTTTACATCCATCTACAAGATGATGTTGATCGCGCCAGGGGACGCTATTGTAGAAGACGCACCAACTACTTTTCCTTTTTTTCTTACTTGAGAAATTGACAGTACAACGCAAACATTCTGATAAAATATACTCCCTAAACAACAATTGTTTCATGCGTGCTGGACCGCACATCTTAAAGATGATTGCAAGTAGGTGGTCCATTTAAAAATTATTGTAACTAATAATTCAAATGTCTTTTTAATATAATTATTATTTCTAATTTTTCAAATTTATTTATTTTTCCATATTCATGATCTCCATATTAAAAATTATATATTATTTAAAAATTAAAATCAAATTATATTTAAAAATATATTTATTGTCAAATCTGCATTTGTTCATATGCAGGCTTGGCCGCATGCTAACCGCATCCTACTCTAAACTGGGGGTTTTGTGCGTTTGGGGATGCTATTGGCGAAGACGCACCAACTACTTTTTCTTCTTTTTAATTGATTGCTGAAGAAATTCAAAACCTATCGCAAACTTTCAGATAAAATAATACTTTAAAATTGACAGTTTGCCATTCTGTTTACTCGTGGAAGTAACTTCACATATGGCATTAAGATAAAGGGAAAATTATGTCCATACCGTCTTGTTTTACCATTATCACAAAAAGGCTAAAAAAATATACGGTATTTATGTGGAAGGTCTAGTCTCCTAGTATTGGAGCTCGGCAATGCGAATTATCCCACGGATGGTTGGTTTTGGTTCAGACCTTAGGGCGTGCGGCTTGAACGTTGCCACCATTGCCTTCGCCTTCCCCTTCCCCTTCCCAGTCCTCTTGTCAAGATTGGGCATCTTCTCAAGCTCCTGGTTCGATCGCCTTCCCCTTCCTAGTTCTCTTCTTAGCAATCTCTTCAAGCTCCTTTCCCATCCTCAAGCTCCCTTCTCATCCCTGCATTAGACATCTACTTATTCAACGGTTAGAAACCCCTTCCCATCTCAACATTAGGTATCTGCTTTCAACTGTTAGAAACTCAGAATACTGCAGAGAACTCTCTCTTTCAGCATTAGGCATCTACTTATTCAACTATCAAAAACCCCTTCCCATCTCAACATTGGTCATCTATTTATTCAACTGTTAGAAACTCATAATACTCCAAAGAACTCTCTCTTTCTCATCTCAGCATTAGGCATCTACTTATTCAAGTGTCAGAAACCCCTCTCTTTCTCATCTCAGCATTAGGCATCCACTTATTCAACTGTCAGAAACCCCTTCCCATCTCAGCATTAGGCATCTACTTATTACTGTCAAAAACCCCTTCCCATCTCAGCATTAGGCATCTACTTATTCAAGTGTTAGAAACTCATAATACTACAGAGAACTCTCTCTTTCTCTTTATTTATTGATCATAAATCTACTGATCATAAATCAAGAATATAGACTCAAGAAGAAACTCAGAATACGGTAGAAAACTCTCTCTTTCTCTTTATTTGTTGATTATAAATCTATTGATCATAAATCAAGAATATAGACCTCGTATAAATATACAGCCTTTAACAATTAAAGATAAATACCAATAGTTATGGATTATTACTAACTAATCTTATCATAATCATGATAACACCTAATTAAGAGATATACACCCATACAAATACATACCCATATATATATATATATATATATATATATATATATAATGATGTATGACACACCTAATTAAAAAATATATACCCATACAAATACATACCTATAGTGATATATATTCATAATGATGTATATCAATACTAACAAGATATCCATACGCTAACATCAACAACCTCTAGAAGAAAACTATTATCTTATCCTCATCACAGGGTGGTTGTCTTCGATTAACCTTTGGTCTAGAGAGGTCGATCTCATCAATCTTTTGGTTGTTTGAGAAATCTCAATCTTCGAATAACCTTTGGTCTAAGGAGGTCGATCTCATCAATCTTTTTCTCATCAGAGAGGTTGTGGTTGTGGGATTTTGAAGGAGGGATTGAGGAAGGTAGGGCTTTTGGTTTTTGGCCTTGTGGGCTTTGGGCAGATTTCTCTACTCAATCTCTGCTCGCACAGTGACTTGGCGGCCACCAAAATCTAAGTTCACTCTCTGCCTCTTGGCTCCAACTCTTCTTCAAGAGATCCATCCCCTCTCTTTCTCTCTCTAGAATGTCATAGATTATCGTTTCTTCGCTCTATAAACCAAGCAGGAGAAATCATCCCCTTCGACTTTCTTTCGCTCGCTAGAATGGTAGAGGTTACCATTTTTTCTCTCTCTAGAACCAAAAAGGAATCATCCCTTCGACTCTCTCTTCGCTCTTTATAAGCTCTTTTTAGTCCTTTGGCAATATGTAGACCCCTTTGGTGGCAACGAGAGAGATGCAGGGGAAATGAGGTTTAACAGAACGGAATCAATATTCGGGTTTAACAAATCAGAATCAATTTTTGGTTTTTTAAAAATCCAAATCAAGCCTATGTTGGTTTTTGAAACACCAAAAATGGATAAAACAGTTTTTTTAAAAAAAAAAATTGTTATGAAGTTCAAAGAACATACATATGTGTAATAACGGAAATTATTAGGTATTTTTGTAATAATAGTAAAATAAAATGGATATTTATATATATATATATATATATATATTAATATTCATAAGGCCGTCTAATATAAAAAAAATGAAACATAACAATTTGTAGAATCCCCATTAATTTACCCAAAACAAAAACAATTTATAAAGCGGTCTCATGTTTAAAAAATCGGATCGCATATTGTTATATGAGTGATCAGGTTTTTCTTTCTGCATGGAATGGGTGAAAAGAAAAAAATCATAGGAGAAATAATTGAAGAGAGATAGAGAGAGAAGGGACAAAATTGGATATGAGAACAAAAAGTCCATGATTTAAAAACTGGCAAATTCGTCCAATTTTAAAATGCCCCTTAAAATGCCCATGTGAACTCAGAGGGCTAAATTTTATAAAAGGAAAAAAAGACAAAAAAAGAGGTCTGTAGGTCCCATTTCTCAAAAGAAATAAAATACAAGATAGTTCTATTAAAAATACCGTTAGAAAAGCACTTCAATTATGCCCTTCCATACTATCGATTCTTGTCCTTTCCCTTCACAAAAAAATTTCCAGAGTGTCATCCAAAGAAAAAATAAGTCTTGCTTGTTTACTTTTTTTAATGATAAAATCCCACACAGGTTGGAAAAATAAGTCTTACTTGTTAACTTTTTGAATGTTAACTTTTTGAACAATTCCTTTGTTTTTATAAAGTCCCACACATTTCGTACTGTGCAATTTGAAAATCGGCCTTTATCAAGATATGGTTTTTCTTGTTTTTTGGTTTTTTCTTTTAAACAGTAAGATATGGTTTTTATTCCCAAATATTTTTATTGGCCTTTTTTTGACGTTGTTATAACTTTTATTGAATAAGTGCTGAAACATAATCAAATTACAAAGCGGCTAATAAAGCATCAGAAATGGACAGATTGGGAAAGGAGATGCCGAGTTTAGCAATGCCATCGGCTATTCCATTGGCCTCTCGATAGACATGAGTGAATAAAGGGTGGAGGCCTGGTGTAGAGCAAAGGTCTAGAATCTTCAACCCAAAAACATAGAGAGACCAAGGGATATTTTGTTCCTGCTTAGGGAGTCGCCTTCTATTAAAATGAACCAGAAAGGCATTTACAGACAATAATCTTCAACCCTTGTAAAAGGGATGAAATTTCTTCCTGGTTGGCCGTGGCGTTGCCGCAAGGACCAACATAAAAAAATATGACAGCACCATCATGGTTCTCAAAAGTCCACCAATTCCAACAGAACTAGGATTGCCTAAAGAGTTGCCATAAAAATTCAGTTTAAGAGACCCTGTACGAGGCGGACTCCAAATTGAGTGGGTGTGGAGTGGAGGTGAGGACCATGAGAATAAGAGAAGGCAATATACCTTTAATTAATAAAGATGTCGGTACGGGAAACTTCATGACCATCTGCAATTGAGGATTTGGCCCTTTGAAACTGTGATATCATTAGTGGATTAATTGAGGATTTGGCACTTGAGATTGTGGTTTTCTTGAGGTAAAAAAGCATTTCTTGGGTGTATGCTTCATTTTTTTATCAAAAGATTTGCTGCTCCCATGAACATACTCCCTTAGGTATAATTCAGGTTTTGAGTCCCTTTTGGACCCCAATATTTGGGGATTTAAGTTTTAGAACTAACAACCCAACTGAAACAAAAATATGAAAATAAATAAATTTCACAAGTGCCTTAAAAATATAATGCCCCAAGATTGTTCAAGAAGAGTCTAATATTTAGAGGGCAAGATTACGGGGCACAAGGACTCAAACTCCAATCTGTTTCCCATAAAATAACTGTTGGGTTTATGTAGCCTTTAAAGGCATTATGAGTGTGTAATGAAAAACATTTACTATAGTGGAACATAAACTCAGTGGGAGTGTGGTCCCTTGAAGACCATACTAAGCAAATAATATTTTCGGATAATGGACTGTGCTTGACGATCTAGGCCAGTCGGTTGGAAAACCCAAGGTACCTGAGCATAAAAAGTAAACCAAGAAGGATTTTTGGGTTAGCCCTTGATGAAGTCGGAGCTTATGCCTAAATGAGTGAGCCGAGGGATTGTGTGACCCTTGTATGTGATGGTAAGTCTACGGAGATGGAGGCCAAAACCTCATCATTGTTCCATCACATGACATGCATATAAATAGATCGTTCGGAAAAGCTAGATAACCACCTTTAGGTGAAGCATATGCATATGCGAGAGATACCCCTATGCACCATAGAGCTATGGTCGCATCAGGTGGTGGTGACCTTGACTTGTCTCTAGGGGCGGACCTGTAATCCACAGACTGGGATTGCAAATCAACCAGACTTTGGTGATCCGCTAATGAGCCCCTGCTTGGACTATGGGTCATGAAAAACACTGGGTCGGTTCGATAAAGCGAATGTGGTCGGTAGTCCATAGTTGAAGGTGATCGTTGATTGAACTCCTGAACCATATGGATCCACTTCCCATCATATTAATTTATTTGTGTTGATTTTATTATTAAATTATTTTAAATTTATTATTTGAATTTTTGTAAGTCATTTGATATTTTATTTCTTATTTTTTGACTTATAAAAATGAAATTATTAATTTACAAAGTTATAATGTTTTAAAATTCATTTTGTTTAAATTTTAAAATATTTATTAAAAAAAATACATGGGGGGGCCATAGTGCACATGTGCCCATGATGTGGGTATTAGGTGGGGCGCCATATGCCACACATGGGTGGCACGCCCCACCCTTGGATACCTTATATTGTTGCTTTGTCTTCAAGTTTCTTAAATATGGCAACTACATCTTGTAGCATGTTGTCAAATATTGATTA